AATGGTAGGAAAACTATCAATGAAGTCTGTTTCTAAATAACATTAACTTCTTAGTCGAGCAACATGCATTTCATCCTATGTTTTGGTTGCCATTAGAATCTTAACATTAGAATAAAAACAGCACACTCAAATTATTTAACGTTGTGATCATTTGCATGACAGCTTGACTTGAACCAAAATAAATGCGACTTTTAAGAAGCCCGGGATGAATGACTTAGAAGGACTCTCCCACCCCCCTTTCTCACCCCCTCCCCGACGCTCATATGTTAACGAGGCTGCGTAAACACTAAAAAAGTCTTCTACCGCCTAATTGAAAAGCAAAGCCATGAACAAATGTGCACACTCGTAGTATCAGTACGACCACCACATCTCGGAATCGATTTTCCGTATGTAACACGTGGTGTGGTGATATTGAGCGACGATGTCAGGATTCGAGTCTCTTTAAACTTTGCTGAATGAATTTTGTTTGTTTGTTGTTTAGAATATTAATTGGCGGCAAGATTCGTTGTGGTAAGCGAGGAAGATGTAACTGCATTTTCTGAACAACAAGGGAACGAGAAAGCAAAGATTTTCAATGAATTTCCCGAAAGCTGCAACTGAAGTAAGGTCAATTTTTCATCTGTCCGTACTGAACAGCCCTCAAAGGTTTGTAGTGAAGAGAGGCTTAAAATAAAAGTATCTGATGATTTTAGTCAGAGTTAGTAATCAAATTTTAATTAAGCTAATAAAAACAGCTCACATGTATTTTGGCTTTATTGAAAAGCACTATGCGCAAAGGTAAGTAATTAAAAAATGTGCGCAAATTAAAAAGTCAAAATTTACAACCTCTTTAATAACCACAGTTATTATATGGACGAGAGTGTTTTACCGGGAACTAAAACACTCACGTACACACTCGTAGTATCAATACGACCACCGCATCCAGGTTCGTAGTGAAGAGAGGCTGCAAATAAAAATATCTGATGATTTTAGTCAGAGTCAGTAATCGAATTTTAATTAAGCTTATAAAACCAATTCATAGGTATCTTGGCCTAACTGACGGTGTTATTTGTAAACCTTTTGTAATTTGGGCACCGAGAGTATTTTCGCTATTAATACCCAGTATTTGTATTAAAGCCAGGTTTACAATCTCAACCACGTATATATATTGTCCATATAATAAAAAGGAAATTCCGCTTTAGTCCAAAGATATGAATTTGATGTTCTCGTGGTATGGTTAATATCTCGCTCGTTTGCTGTGCTCACTCGTTAGATATTATTCTAGCTATTTGAGCATAAAATTCATATCTTCTCACCACTGTGTAATATCCATAACTTTTCAACCAGTGAGAAAAAAAGAGTCCAAAACGCAGACCTTTTATTTTATTTATCATTTTACATGGAGAAGAGTAGAACGTCATGAAATGAAAACAGAACGGCTAAACGTATAACAAGCGTTGCCAGTTGTCATATTGAAAACGTATTCAGCCCTGTAATTAAGAGTATGTCATTCCATGGAAGACTTGTTCACACGTGTTATGCAAATGCAATTGCAAACACAAACGCAAATGGAAATGCAAGCGAGTTGACACGTCCAAAGCAAACACAAGGAAAAAGAGATACGCAAGCGCAGTAGAAGTATTTTTCCAAGATGGCCGACAATGATTGAGCTTTTTACCGAGTCACACGTGTGGGAAGCGAACGCAAATACAAGCTCAAGAAAGTGAAAATTTGTTTATTCCTTGCGTTGACGCTTGCGTTTACATTTGCATTTACGTTGGGTTGGTTCACAAGTGCAATTCCTTGCATTTGCATTTGTGTTTTTATGTGATTGATTGACCGAGTTAGGTGTGTGTACTAATCCTATTACCCTCTTAGGAAATTAATTCAACTTTTCAGAGCCGGGCCAATACAAATATCGCAGGTATAACTAGGGACCGATAACTGAAACGAGGAAAAGATCCAAGCTTCTTTCTGCTATAGCCGTGATAAAAAGGTTTTGTTTAGATAGAATAATACTCTGTTGTTCCATACAGACTGAGGAAACTGAATTCTGTTGTTATCGTCACTGACAATCCTGGTAACTGGCTGTGATAAAAACTGCAATTCTGATCTAGGCTGACTAGCCCAATCCGAATCAAGTGACACCTTGCCGCTAGAGCCGCCATAATTAATGACTTCTGAAGTTGACAAACAGCCCTCTGCAACTCCGCCTCCTAGGGAGAGAAAGAATCCTTATCTAACAATTAAAAAATTGCTCGTACCTAAGACATTTTTGCTGCTCCGGGTTACGATATTCTCGCAAAATTGTACCGTTTTTCATCTTCTGATGTTAAAAGATTACTTCAACTACTTTATCGTCGCGTTTTATGGCGTTTGGCAAAAACAGGAGGCAAAAATCATTGAAGGAGCATATAAATTGGAAGTCTTAAGTTTCAAATCGGCTGATCAATTCTAAAAGGAATTTTTGATTATGAAAGCCATCAATTATGATATCTAGGTTTGGGATTGAGTGGCAAACAGATCTAAGACTCCAGTTTTAAAGAGTTAAAGTATGTGATCCATAAAAGTGTTTAGATGAGAGTCTATATTTATGACGTTCCAAACACGCGTGTATTTTTGAGAAATGTACTTTATAAAAGAAACGGAGAACTATTTGCCGAGTTTCCACAAGTTAATTGAAGCCGGTCAGGGTGAGAAATCGTGCATTGAGCAAGTACTCCAAAGTTCTGCATTTCCGGTTTAAATAACTCCTTTTATCATGCTCCCCCAGCCCCCCACCCCATTCCCCATTCGAGGGCAAGTACGGCAATATAATAATAACTCCTCACTTGAATTGCCTCATTATGTATATATTTCCATACGTTTAAAATACAGTCTTCAAAAGTTCGGATTCGGTAAATGAACGCAAAAACTCTAGGAAAGAATGGTCTCAAGCAAAACAAAGACTATGGGAGCCAGAAACACCTTAAAACCCTATGCTTTAAATATCGCGTGTTGATTTTGGATATTATATGATTTGGGATCTGCAAAATGGTTCCTGATACACTCTGACCAGTCTTTGTATCCTGGCCGAGCGCAGACGAGAAGACTCATATGAGAGTTGACTGAGAATAGAAACGGTACAAACATATAAATGATTAAAATGAAAAGTAATGCATTTTTCCGCTTCTAGAAAACTAAAAAAAGATACAAGTGCAACGATTAATAGGCTTCCGAAGGGTTTTCTTTCGCTTGGAGTGGAACGAAAAATAATCGACGATGATGACTGAATTAACCTACCATTTGCCCCTTCACTGTTATATAGTCTTAGTTACTAACCGACAGGTTTTAAAAAATGCAATTCTATGATCTAGGAAATATATCATTTCCGATAGTATTTTGCAATTCGACAATGATAAAGTAAAGGACTTCGTCCAGATTAACGCAATACAGGTGTATGCTTCTATCCAAAATTTCGGTTCAGCTGCACTCAACTTAACATGCTGTGAGACAGTGAAACGCAAGGCTGTCAATTAATGTCTTATTTTTGAAAATAATTCTTGACTTGAGATATGATGTTACATCAAAAAAATAAGACTGTCAAATTTATGATTATTCTTTTGAGGTCCTGTCCATTATGTTGACTTTACTTATGACCTACCTTGTAAGAAAATAAAGTCTTTATTAAAGAAATTATTACCAACTTTCAACAACGCAATCTTTTATATTATTACCACATGTTAAAAGATGCGCGGTCTTTAAAATGGAAAAGAAAGGAGAAAAGCGAGTATGTTATCCTAGCGATCCTTCTGTGAGGTAACAGGACGTCACCGAGGCCAAAAACGTCTCAATTAACAGTAGGACTGTCAGGGGATATGCAGTACTCCAACTGAGCTAATTAAAGACTATATAACATGCAATCAACTTCTCGTATATTTAATTATCATGTCCCGTTGTCAAAGAAATTTCAGGTCCAAACAATTATAGGCAGTCATTCTTGCAATTAAAGTTTTTCTTAAAAGCTATAAACTTCAATCCAAATTCGCTTTATTTGCCTCATAAGATAATAAGACGCCAGTAGGACAATTAACGTGTCTCATGATCACTTTGTTGACATGAGAGTGGAGCCAAGCGCGTTCCTCACCTTAAATAAACTAGCGATTAACTTAGTTTCCTGCTTAGTCCTATTGAGTAACTACTGAATTGGTTTTCAAACTCATTTGAAGGGAAAAAAACAAATTACAAATGGACCTCTTATTTCTAGTAAATTGTTCAAAGGTAGTAAACTCGCCTGCTTCAATGATATAACTTTTCCCGTTAAAACAAAAAGCTTTAAAACCTCCAAGGATTTTACAAACTATTCATCTCCACTCGTTTATGTTGATTCTCTATATTCAGCTGTTTTGTAGGTGGATTTACCACGATACAGGACTTAAATCACGGAGTTTAGGTAGATGCTTCTATCTGTAATTCTTGTTTTGCTGCACTAAAAATGTCATTCTCCTTACAGCTATTATCTGTCAATCATTCGGACAAACTAAATCAGAGTTTTAATTGTGACAAGTTTGGTCTGCATTGTATTCCTCCTCAGCATGCAACTTTCTTTTCTATTTGAAAACCGCTCTTTCCGCATTTGACTTACACTCAATTCGTTGAATGATACTGACAGTTTCGTTATCGGTGAGGTAAGTTCAAAATATACTTAAGATTCGTTTGCAAATTCTATCTTCGGTGAGATTATTACAAATTATTACAAAAATGATTAAACGTCTGGGTGAGAAAAATAATACATAAGAGATGTTTTTGCTCTTAATAATGTTGGTTTAATTTCACCATGCATACAGTTAATTTGTCCTTGAAATTTTCAAAGCGGTAACAACAACAACCGTATTTCGAAAGCAGCTCCGAGAAGAGGAGCAGGTCTTCTTACTGTATATTTGACATATTTCTTTATTGAGAATATTGAATTCATATTTCATTTTATCTTTGATTAAACTGCTTTTTGTTATTTTCATGGCAGCTAACAGAGCTCAGAGAAAATGCAGCCTTTCTCCTCAAATTCGCAGTGTATTCCATGGCTTGTGGTCCTCATCATCGAATGTCTGGCCATAGTTGTCCTTAATATCATCACCGTTGTTGTCTTTGTGAAGAAAAAGCGCCAGCTACAGCGGCAGAGTACATATTTGATCATCCATCTGGCGATAGTCGATCTCTTAGTGGGCCTAGTCTCTGGGCCACTACAGATTGAACACATGATGGGGTGGTTCTGTCCACTATGGAATTACAGACAAAGGACTGTTTGGCCTCATAATTTATCTTTTGCATTTTTACATTTATTCTCGTTCACTTCCCTTATAAACCTTATTGCTGTCTCCTTAGAACGGCTACACGCAACATTTTGTCCATTCAGGCATCGCTTTGTGAGGAAATGGGTTCATAGAGCCGTAATTATTGTCATTTGGTTAATACCTATTGTTAGAGAAGCAGCTCAAATTTTCTTAAGGGGAATTGCTGATCTAGTGGTAATTAATATTTACTTGTATATCCCATTTTATGCAGTTTCTCTATTTATTATCTGTGTAACTTACATCCTCATTATTATCAAAGTACGGCGTAGTCGTCATCCTCAATTCCATTCAAGGTTCAAAAGAGAAAGAAAACTGACGGGTACTGCGCTCATCGTCTCACTCGTATCTTTACTTTGTCTTCTACCAGCGATGATATACGCAGCATGGCCTCGCCACTCCTCCACTTATTTCATAAATTGTCATATTTATATGGCTGTGGTAGTTCTATTTTTAGCTAACTCACTTGTAAATCCTATAATTATACTCTTCGGATGCCAGGACTCAGAGAAGGTTTATTACAGCTAGTTTACAGGGTCCCAGACCTTTTTAACGCCCCAGTAAACCTGCCACTTCGTACCCTTAGGAGAGCGTGGATTAATGGTAGGAAAAGTGTTGATGAAGTTTGTTTCTAAATAACTTTAACTTATTAGTCGAGCAACATACATTTTCATTTAATTTGGGGTTTCCATTAAAATCTTAACATGTGTTAAAAAAAATACTCTTTTGATATACGAACAGATAATCGATACAGTATAGTTTTGCCTTTAAATAAAACAAATTAAATCAACTTTTTATAGGCCTGAAGTTGTGATCATTTGCATAACAGCTTGACTCGAATTTACAACCTCTTGAATAAATACAGTTATCATATGGACGGGAGTGTTTAAGTTCCCGGGAAACTTAAACACTCACGTACATGCACACTCATCCATGAACGGAGCGGTGAATTTTTTAGTATGTAGCTCGTGGTGCGGTGATATTGAGCAACGACGACTCTTTCCGAGCCTGTTCAAACTTTACTAAATAAACTTGGCTTGTTTGTTGTTTCGAATATTAGTTAGCGGCAAGATTCGTTTTGGGAAGCGACAAAGATGTAAATGCATTTCCTAAACAACAATAAAAGGAGAAAACCAAAATTTTAAGGGAACTTCAGGAAAGTTGCGACTAAACAAAGGTCAATTTTTCATCTGTCCTTGCTGAAAACCCTTCAAAAGTTCGTAGTGAGAAGAGGCTGAAAATAATTAAAAGTATCTGATGTTTTTCGTCAGAGTCATCTTGGCACCGTGTGATATCTATCATTTATCGACCAGTGAGAGCACTCGCAACAGGCGTGTCTGTTTATAAACACGGGAACTCTCGGTATGGCATTTTTTCGTTTGCAAAAGAGTTCAGAACGCAGACCTTTTATTTTATTTAACATTTTTTTTATAGGGATGAGTAGCACGTCGGGAAATGAAAAAAGAACGGCTTGACATAAAAGAAACATTGCCATGATTGTCAGATTGAAAACGTATCCAACTCTGTTATAATAAGTATGTGATTCCATGGAAGGATCTGAAGACTGGTTCCCACGTGCGATGCAAATGCAAAGGCAAACGCATTGGAAATGCAAGCCAGTTCAGAACGCAAATACAAGTTAAAGAAAATGAATTTTTTATTCCTTGCGTTGAAGCTTTCGTTTGCATTTGCATTTGCGTTTGGGTGGTTCACACGACCAATTCCTTGCATTTGCATTTGGGTACTAATCCTATTAAGTAATTAAATCAACTTTTCAGAGCCGGCCTAATAAAAACAATACAGGTACTTCAAATCGTGTAATAGCCCAAGTTGACGTGCCTTCTTGGAACTTAAGAACATCTCGGATTAATGTTTATCGTCACTTATAATCCTGGTAACTGGTTGTGAAATAAATTGCAATTCTGATTTAAGCTGACCAGCCCAATCCGAATCAAGTAGCACCTTGCCCATAATTAATGACGTCTTCAGTTGACACACAGCCCCTGCATTATATATCAGATAAATGAATAAAGAGGATTAGTTTCTAAAGGAAGTGTGGTGCTGTGTCGGTGGGAGAGTATCACAGGATAATTTAGTGTTATCAACTGAGGTAAAAACGTAAATTGGCCACCGTAAAGAGTTGAAAGGCTGACGTTTCGAGTGTTAGCCCTTCTTCAGAGCGATTGGAGGAAATGTGGGTTTTGTGTGGGTTTATATGCAGAAAGTGGAGCTACACTATTGGTGGGAAGAATAAATTAGTTGAATGAAAAGTGCTCGTTGATAGCGTGGGGATTACGAGTGCCGATTTGGGAGATAAATTTTTGTTCCAGAGTTTTGAGGCCTTCCGTACTGCCTAGATGTAGGGAAAGGCCGCAAATTGCCATTTGCTGTTTAGAATGATTCGGAAGATTGAAGTGTCTCGCGACTGATTTGAATGTGTCCCTGTCACTTCTTTCTACGTTGCGAAGGTGTTCTTGGAATAGGTCACCTAGTCGTCTTCCTTTTTCACCAATGTACTACTCTTTGGAACTAGTGCAAGTCATGCAGTAAATGACATTGCTTAATTAATTGGCGGAGGTACACGTAAAGTGACCAGTAATATTAATGGATCTCTTGCGTCCCAAGATTTTCCCTATCTCTATTTTTTAGAGATATTATTTTTCTAAAAAATATCTCATTCAAAACATAAACTGTTGGAAAGCAAGAACGAAAGAAATTACTTGTAATGACAAACACCTTCGTTGCTTCTCTTCGAATTAGATTTCTGATCGAGGTTTTTGTTAGTCCTCGATAGGAACAGTAAGAGAAATTATGGAACGTACATCAACTTAGTTATGCTTATATTTACTTGGGAAAAGTCGTCTTTCATAACGGTGTATAAGTAAACAATTCATCTCCTTAACCTCTCAGATTCAATAACATCAACATAGTGTCTTCCGCACAATATCAAGACACTCCGAGGAAGACTGGTAACAAAAGACTGCATCAATATATACATCGCTCTACTCCTACGTATTGAGCACTGTTTTACGAAAGTCAAAATTTTACACTTTATATATATATATA